ACAAAAAACGTAACGTTTTCCAAACCAGGACGACAGTTCCAGTAATCGGATGTTTTATCTGAGCAGTTATTTAGTACAAACGCACCCGTGGGTGAACAAGCCATTTGTCTTGGCTTCTTTTCAAAATGTGTCTGACTCTTTCATGAATGCTGGGGTGGTCAGGCTTCATAAATATCACTTCAGTTTCACTCACTCTCAGCGAGTTGAGAAACAGTCTTATTCTCTTCACTTTTTTTATTTGTTTATTTTGTATAAAGAGAATCCATATTGAAGAAATATTGTGTAATTTTCTTTTTTTTTTTTTTTTTTTTTACATTTTTACAAAAGGTTCTATTTCAAATAAATGCTGTTTGTTTAAACATTCTATTCATCAAAGAATACTTAAAAAAAATATTTCCACAAAAATATTAAGCTGCACAACTGTTTTCAACATTATTAATAAGTTTCTTGAGCACCAAATCAACATATTAGAATGGTTTCTGAAGGATCATGTGGCATTCAGCCTGGCCATCACTGATAGATAATTTTATATACCTGCGATTTAACAATTTTCAAAACACTGCTGCTTCTACTGTATTTTTTATCAAATAATTGCAGCCTTGGTGAACATAAGAAAATTCTTATAAAAGCATTAAAAAAATCTTACTGACCCCAAACTTTTGAACTGTAGTGTATTTGTTTATTTATTGCATTTTTAGCCACAGAGTATCATAGTGGACTAATCAGATTGAAGTACTTCAGAGAGCTGTGTAATATACAGTAGTTCCACATTAATGCATCTTTTAATTTTTACATGGATGGTACAGCACAAAAGATTTTTACATCTGGTATCATCTCCTTCATGACAGTAGGATCCAAAAGATGGAGTAAAAGTAATTGAGGACATTTTACCAGGTATCTCTTTATACAAGTATATAAGTTTATTCTCTGTGACACTCACCACTCCAAAGATTCCTACTCCTGAGCCTATAGCGGTCAACGTAGGGATGATATCAAATTTTCCTGCCTGCAAGGAACAGTTGTAAACAAATGGAAATGTGCATGTCCCATAACTTCTTTGTGAATGATCCATAAAAAAATAAGCTTACCCGTCCATGAACAATGATGTCTATCCGTACACCAAACACCTTCATTAGCGTTCTCTTTTCCACCCCATTCTCCACATAATATTTAGCATATCTAAAACAGACAGTATCACATAATAATTCTAGTAGTGAATCCACTTAATATATTCTTAAAGTTCTTCAAAACCATTTTTAGTAATTCTTTTACAGAACCCATCAAAGCTCACAGGCTCAGGAATAATACAGTACAGCACCACTGACCTTTTCTCATTTTAGCTGTATTAAATGAACATGAATATTGACCATATTGAAGTCTTTTCACTGCATAATCACAGATCACTTGGACAATATACATTTTCCTTGTCTCTTGCTTCCACAGGACCGCAGAGTAGTCTAATTAAAAAGTCTGTTGTTTTCATAAGGTGAATGGGTTAAACCTTCTTACCCACCTAAAATTGTATCCCAATGATGGTTTCTCTTCTTTGTCCTCATTTTTCCCCGTTCCATAAAGACCATAGAATTCATACTTTGGTTTGCAGTGTCTGATACTCAGGTCCAGATTGCAGTCCCAGTCAATGAGGACTCCTATAGCACCACCCTAACACATCACATGGGAAATATCATGGAGATTATCATCTCATGCTTCTGTAATCTTCTCCAGATGTCAAATATTTCACTACAATAATAATACTCTTGTATTATAAATATATATTATTATATTATATATATTGTACTATAAAACATAATAATGGGGGAAACGAGCATTTCCAAACCATGGGCTCCTTGGGGTTTCCTTCACATTTTTAGAGTAGTCTTATTAAAAGCTTAATATAATATAAATATTATATTAAAAAACTTAAACAGGTCATTTTGGGATAAAGTTTAAAATAAGAAACTGAAGTTGTGAGTCAACAAGTCAGTTATTCAATTTTAAATTTTAAAGTCACAATTACAAGATATAAAGTTACTATAGTGAGAAGTCACAATTGTAAGATATATGAGAAATATAGTCACAATAGCAAGATGTAAAGCTGTAAACATTGTATGGCAAAATCACATTAATAGAACAAAATGAAAATCTCTTCAAGATTTGTTGAGCACAGACTTATTTTACTGATTATTTTTTACTTATTTTGCCGTTATTCAGACATTCCCTTGGAAACCCAGAACAAAATACTGTAGTCTACAATTTGACGACATGATTCAAAATCTTTATTAAGTTTGTAAACTATACAATTCAATACATCAGTCATTTGGAAGTCATCCTAATTACTGGACTGAATGCATGTTTTAAGAACAAGTGTGAGTGGGTGTGTGTGTATTTACAATCATTGATGACAAAAAACCTACCACACGAGCTATCTCTGAGAAACTGAACCCAGAACGCTCAACAATGTCTCCCAATCTGAAGATAGGACACAGTGGATCAGTCTTGGGATGATACAAACATGTATTGATGTAACTCTGATTCACACTCTCCACCAAGTTACTCCTAGAGAGAAAAAAAAAAAAAAAAGAGGGAGGAGAACTTCATCAATTAGACAAAACTGATAAAACTGTTGCATTTTAAGCCTGGCCTTCAATAACATGTAAAGTACCATATTGGTATGTACTGTACTAATGTTGTTACAGTATGATGCTTATTGCAAATCCACTAAAATTATTATTGATGTCAGAGAGACAATAAGCTTTGTTTTTTGTGTATAAGTTATTTAATGTGTATTTTCTTTTTTTCACAAAAAATTATTTGGAATGAAACAATAAATGCAGACTGTCTTTAGAACCACAGTAAACCACTGGATTATAGGAAAGGCACATTCAAAATAATCTTTTCTAAGTTAAATAGTTCCTTTTTATTTCATCCTCCTTCGTCCGAATTTACTTGTTAGGTTTTGCCAGTATACCACAAGGAAAATTTGGAAAATATAGAATTTTACCTTACTACATTAAACTGGCGAAAGGTAATCGAGTTTTTGATGAACAGTGTGTAGTTTTCTGCTGTCAGCAGGACTGGAGGGCTACGGAGAAATATAATAGAGGGACAAAACAAAGTTAAATGGATCAGACCAAGACTGTAGGCTGATTCAAAACAATTTTGAATACAATCTGTCACATGCTCCAGGTATAAACATACTTTTACGTTTAAAGCAACCGTCAAGTGAAATTTGATTCTTTTGTTTAGTTTCCAAGATTTCTACACAAACATGAAGTTCAAGTCATTCAGGAATGACGAGTATTTGCTTTTTTTTTTTTTACAGTATCTATCAATTCATTATGGTTTAACTATAACACATTGCTGGTCTATGGGCAACCAAACCTTTTTTGGTGGGCTTATAATTTAGTGAAAGTGAAAGTGAAGTGACATGTGGGCATTTAACCCATCCACACACACAGTAGTGAACACACACCCGGAGCAGTGGGCAGCCATGTGCTGCAGTGCCCGTGGAGCAGTTGGGGGTTTGGTGCCTTGCTCAAGGGTCTCACCTCAGTCATGGTATTGAAGATGGAAGAGAGCGCTGGTTATCCACTCCCCCCACCGACAATTCCTGCCGGACCTGAGACTCGAACCCGCAACCTTTGTGTTACAAGTCCAACTCTCTAACCATTAGGCCACAACTGCCGCAAATTTAATTTAAAGATGCCACAAAAAAACAACAAAAAAACAACAACATCCAATAATTGTAGTCCAGGCATGCCACAATAACGGTTACTGTTTTACACACCATGTGATCGATTCAATTAATCAACAACAATAATAAAATAAGCATTCATACTCTGGTATTTTACGGTCATCTTCAACTGGACACCAGGAGTAGATCTCACAAGTACTTGTATCGTTTATACACCTGCCCGTCATGTGCCCTGAGAGAGACAGTAATGCTGTTAAGTGAAGAGTAGAGTATAAGAGCTTTGGTGTTGATCAGAACAGACTGAAACAAAACAAGAGAGCCCCAAAGAGAGATGGCAGGGTACATCGTAGGATCCAAAAGTCTTATGTCCCTTGTGAAAATGCTTAGATTTTGCATTTTTCTAATTTAATACCAATTTACATTTACCCTTACATATATTTAGCCAGGTTTACAATCCAGGTTTAAATAACACTTTGAATCCCACATTTCCTATATGGGTTTAGACTTTTGATACCCACTGTATATGCACAAACACACACATACACAAACAATGTCGTACTTTTGATTTACTCTCAGCACAAGAATGCACACTTCAAAACTGGTATTCAGAGACATAGTTTTCATATAAAAATTTTTACATTTTAAAAGTATTAAAATTTAAAAGTATAAATTTTTTGGGTAGAAGACTGTCAGACCATGTTAAAAGCACTAAGATAAAATCAAATAAATTTGTTTGGTTGATACACATCCATTTCCATTAGTAACTGACTGTGAGATTTCAGTGAGGAGCTGCCATGACTTTCATGTTACTAAATTAACTTTTCTCTGAGTTAATGAGTGTGAATGATGATTCTCTCAGTCTAGTTATTTAGGAATGCTTTCATCAAATTGAATTTTTGTCATATGTTTGTGATTTCAGTCTGACTCTTTTAACATTTACATTCACACACTTGCTTTGGTGGTAGAATAACATTGACAAACTTTTGTACAACCATTAAAATACACAGTGTAATCATAAAATATGACACATCCCTTGTGTCACAGAACATCAAATATATATCAGAGACATGATACAATAAGCATGAAATGATATGCAGTCTGAAGCATGGCATAAACAACAAGAAGGTTGTGTGTTTTCAAGAAAAACAACTGTGAATTTGACCCTGAATTCACAGGGTCAGTATTGTAACAAGATTAAGGAAAATATGTGTTGTATGGTGAAGTTTGTTGGAAGTTTGTGCCATTTGCCCATGACTGGAAGTCAGGGCACTTTGAATTTCTGCAATATGAGATAGTGCTGTTTACTTACGTCTGTATTCCTGGAGTAAATCGTTCTGCTAGGCTGCATGTGAAACTGAGTCAATATTTGAGTATTTGTGACCCACACAGAACTCACGATATCAGTCAGTAATATGGGTTTGACTGTATTTTTCGGTTTTAAATCAACTTTTTGTTACGTGTTTATTAGCTATTGGCGTTTCAATTAACAATGTTGATTGGGTTTAATACCAACTACTACTACTAAGCTTTGCCAGTCCTTTATTTAACATGAGTTTAAATTTATGTTTGGGTAGCAGTGGAATAAGTTTGCGTAGCTCCTGTTATAAATTATCAAATACAATTTGGAGAATGTTTAAAACTGATTTCTGAATTTAAAAAAAATAAATAAATAAAAATGAGTGAAGATATGGAAAGTTTATTTTAAAAATTCAGTTCTTAAACATGTTGCTGCTATATTAATTAGTATTCATTTAAAATTGGCAAAACAGCTGTATAGAAACTGCTAGTCACACCAAGTAATCTGAATCTGGATAAGAGTCCTGTGGAACTCTGGGAATTACAGACATCAGTATAAGCATGGGGTAAAATTCATCAAAGATGTGGAAAGCTAAGAAAAAGCCTTAGAGAATGAGAGCAAAGCATGTTAGTCATGAATGTTGGTGACTTACGGAGACGACAGCATGGATGATGTGCAGGTTTGTCAGTTAGGAGAGTAAGAGTTCATTAGGCCCCCTTTGATTCTGAGTAGAGTTGAAACCAAATGCTTACGTGCAAATGCACCAATTTTCTTAACCCATGATCATTTGAATTCTGCGGTACATATCTTAGATCGATGGTGCATTGATTTAGTTACCAGTCAGGGTCAAAGGGATTATACAATGGCCATGAAAAAACACTCAACAAGTGAGTTCCTCTGCCCCTGGCTGCTAGTGATGTGAAGTTAGTCTGCTGCGCCGGTGCCTTCTGTCGGAACAATGAAATGGTTAAAACTTTACCATTTCCCATACGTTTGTATTTGCCCTCATCACAGTGTGCGTCAGAAGTGCATTTGTTCTTCCCATCTGGCAGCTGAAATTCACAAAGGAAAGGAAACACACTTTAATGGATATTAGTGTTTAATTAAGCCCCAAATGGCTTGTTGAAAATATGCAAATGTGAGATCCAAATGAGACGGGATGCACAGAAGGGGCAGAATAACCACAAAACTCAATTCTTGAGACTCATTTGTTTAAGCAAATCTTTGCAGGTAGGGCAATAAAGTCAAATAGAGAGTCAAGTGAAAGTCAAATATGACTGAGGTAAACCAAGAGCAGGAAAATGAATGAAGAGATGGTACAGGAAATTTAGTCATGTTACTTTGCTGGAAAGTAACAGATTGTATCGCAGGTTATATGCGTGTTTGCCAAGGACTATGGGGGAAATAAGTGACACTTTCAGTTTCTTTTAAGGATAATAAGGATAATAATCCACTTTCTGTATTTCTTTAACACGTCATTTTAGATTTAAATTAACCTTGGGTGGTTGACAATCAACCACACTGTAAAATGTCTTTGCCTTGCATGTATTAAGGACTGAATTAAGTGCTAAAATGCATTGCACTTTGATTTTGGCTTACTGGTACATTGCAACTGTTGTAAAAGTTAATAAATTTTAATATCATTCTAAAGTGTCACACACCATTACAAACATATCAGTTTAGCTTTTGCCTTGGAAAACACTAGAGAATTGTGACTGTACATAATATGACCGGACTATTTTGTATTTTATGCATTTTAATGAACAATGCTATAAATCTATTGAAAAATATGCACTAATGAAATGTAAAAAAAACCTGATTGTCTTTGTACAGTATTTCAGCATTTACAAAAAACATTCTGATGAACAGGACAACCATAATTGTGACTTCTTATTATATGGGAAACTATATTCAAACTAAACAAGCATGTACGCCCTCAGATTTTTTAAGTGAATGATGAATGCAAAAAATAAATAAATAAATAAAATGTTGATTTGATCACAGTTTTCCATGCACACTAAATGAAACCTTCACTACTAGTTTTCAATTGATTTTAATTCATTTATTATTTATTATTCATTATTCATAATTTGGATTAAGTTTTAGTTTGGTCTCGAGCCAGGACTGCCTGGTGCATGACGGCCCTCGCCCCTTATTTCTGAGAAACCGGCAACTGTATTTTAACTGGGGGGAAAGATAGTCAGGATATGACTCATATAGATATCCTAGAGAAATAAACAAACAATTATGAGAGCCACGCTTATGAAAGCCAATAGAGATGAGGGAAGGAGAGAAAGACATTTACCTACCTCAGGACATTTGTCCTGTTTCTGTCCCACAGTGGCAATGTAGTTCGTCATCACAACAAAAGACGAGTCACCCTGGAAAATGGAACAGAAAGGACTTGAAGGCTTACACATGACCATATGTAGTTTCAGTCTCTAAGCTCAAACCAGTATGCGGATGGCTACACAACAGAGTGCCAGAGTGCCATGTTGAATTTACAGTACATCCTTTGTCTATTAGTGGTTGCATAAGAAATGGAGTTTTTGAAACTGACTGAGCTTGCTTGACTTCAGGTTACTGTTTTTGACACCCCTGCATGACATGATGAATGTACTTTTTCAAACCAAAACCTAAACCGTTTAACCTCAGCCTTAAATAGTCTGAGTGTCATTCCATCTCTCATGTCTCTGCTCTGCTAGCACTGTTAGCTTAGTGGCAGCAACCTGTACTCAATAACACCAGTGATTTATTTATAAAGTGGTTTTGTGCAGAATCTTAGAGTAAGTACAGAAATTATTCTAATATGCCGATTATCAACATTAAAAAGTTGTTGTGCTTAATATTTTATGTGGAAACTGAGATACATTTTTTCAGGATTTTTGATGAATGAAAAGTAAAAAAACAGAATTGATTTGATATAGGTAACATTATAAAATGTCTTTACCATCACTCTTGATCAATTTAATTTTCTGTGAGGGCTGTGTTTAAGGTTGGTGGATAGAATATACAGTTTGTACAGTATAAAAATGTGTGTGTGTGCACAAAAGCGCTGATATTTGTTATCGTGATGAACATTTTGATATTTGCTTTTTTGGATGATATTATTTGACTCCAAGTAGCTCCTAGAGCCACTCCTTTGATTGCTGAGTGATGACGTGTTTACTTTTCTGTCAACAGTCTGTCGCTTTCTTATTGCACTGGGTGCTTTCTGCGAAATAAGTTCACATTCTGAAACTGCTGCAGGCTGTTGGCATAAAGTAAATAATGGCAGACATTTTTTATTTATTTAAAAAAAAAAAACTTTACAAGAAATTTACAATCACGTACGGTGTCATATTGTTTAAAGTATTACCCTTCTAAATAGTGTCACAATATAGATGTTTACTTGCTGTGACAATGTCAGCACTTTCTCAGTCAGGGTGAGAATAACCCGCGTGTGTCTGCAGATGTTTACACAATAAGAGTAGAGTACGTTTATCTGTGATTAGGCCAAATTCACAGCCATAATGACTCTTATACCAATATAAGCATGTTTACACTCAGGAAGCATAACATGAAATTTAGTGGATGGACAATTACCATTCAGTAGCCTACATCTGCATTCAAATACATACAGTGGGTACGGAAAGTATTCAGGCCCCCTTAAATTTTCAAAGGGTCTGAATACTTAGGACCATGTGATATTTCAGTTTTTCTTTTTTAATAAATCTGCAAAAATGTCAACAATTCTGTGTTTTTCTGTCAATATGGGGTGCTGTGTGTACATTAATGAGGAAAAAAAATTAACTTAAATGATTTTAGCAAATGGCTGCAATATAACAAAGACTGAAAAATTTAAGGGGGTCTGAATACTTTCCGTACCCACTGTATTTCTTCATTTTTGAAATAATAATAAAACTAAAGAAAAGATAATGATACCCATGTATATAAATTAGGGCTTCTGAAGTTTTCAGTTCTGAGGCCAAAATGAGGAGACACAACCCACCTGTTCAGGAAAAACATAATCAGCTGCATCCCATATCCGCTCCTTTTCGCTGATATTTGTGAAGGACACTCCCTTCATCTTGGTGAAGATGGAGCTTATGGCAATATCTACTATCTGGTAGCCTTTCTCATACATGAACACCCACCTAAAAAAAGCAAAAAACAATTCATGACCCGGTCTGCTATAACCAAGCTGCAGTCTGAAGATATATAGAGAGATATATATATATATATAGAGAGAGAGAGATATATATAGAGAGAGAGAGAGATAGATATATATATATATAGAGAGAAAATAATTACATTTTGTTGCTTTGCAGCCTGAAATGAAGATGGACGTTTTTGTTTAATCTTGCTGTATTTACTTACTTGATTGTATATTAATTTGACGTTATTTTGCCCCATCCATTTTTCCTTCTATCCTGACAAGTGCTTCAGTCCCTGCTGCAGAGAAACACCCCCATAACAGGACATTACCACCTCCATGCTTTACTGTAGGAATGCTGTTATTTGGATGGTGAGCTGTATTGGATTTCTGTGAGACATATCGTTTGGTGTTGATGCCAAATAATTACATTTTAGTCTCATCTGCTTCTTAATCTTCAAGGTGTGTTTTGGCAAAGCTCAGTCGTGACTGCATGTGGCCTTTCTTGAGGAGTGACTTTTTTTTTTCTTGCAACCCTCCCATACAAGCCACATTTGTGGAAAATTGATGATATTGTTGTCACATGCACACGATGACCACTCTTTGTCATAAATTCCTGCAACTGCTTCAGAGTTGCTGTAGGCCTCTTAGCCTCTCTGACCAGTTTCCTCCTGCTCTTTCATCCAGTTTGGAGCGACGTCCTGATCCAGGGAGGGTCTGTGTTGTACCAAATACCTTCCACTTCTTAATAATAGGCTTCACTGTGCTTCTATGAATTGATAAAGCCTTTTAAATGTTTTTGTATCCATCTCCTGACTTGTGCCTGTCCACAACTTTATCCCAGAGATCTTTTGACAGTGCCTTGCCACCCTTTGCTTCAGTTGCACTACAAAGGACTGAAATGCTCCAGGAAAGCTCTTTTCATGCTGAGCTAATCAAAATGACAGAGCTGATCACAGCTGAAAGTCAAATGGCTTTGTGTACCAGTGAGAAGGTGATTAGCAACACCAGATTGAGTTTCTGTGTTTTAATTTTTTTCTGACATGTTGGTGTTACATCTTTCACTTGGATGTTATAAGTTGCACTGAGTAAATACAGCTGGATACAACAAAAACTGTGTCCGTCTTCATTTCAGGCTGCAAAGCAACAAAATGTGATTGTTTTAAAGGGGGATGATTCTTTTCTATACCTCTCTATTATCCACATACATACATTTCATGACAGCCATAAATGAGGGTACCTTTTTCACAAAATGCATGGGATTAAAACCAGCAAATTACTACAAACTATTCATTTTCACTGATTTAATTCTTTGATACAGTGTTACACACGTGAAATATTTCATTGATTGTCCACTAACATATTCCTGTTGTTGACATTATAGAAATTATTTGTATTATATTATTTGTATTATTATATGATTTTAATATTATTTTCAGAAACATCTGATGTTTCTTCTTTCTTCATTCCTTCATTCTATTCATGAATATTCACAGCACACAATTTGTCAATATTGAGCTTAATGTGCCAACAGAGAAAAAAATGCTGGTTTTTCGATTTTTAAATTTAATTTGATCCTAATACCTTTCACTCAGAACTGCTATTAGTTTCATTTTTATTGGTTACTGATTGACAATAACAATACAAAATATATTTACATTTACATTTACATTTAGTCATTTAGCAGACACTTTTATCCAAAGCGACTTACAAATGAGGACAATAAAAGCAGTCAAAATAAAAGCAGTCATTCAACCAGTGCATTATTCTTTTCAAGTAAAAAGCATATACTGAGTCCTCATGATATGCACAATTAAACTTGCACAGCAGTTGGAAAACGATTAATATCATAAGGCTATGTTTTATAGTTTGCATTTTAGAATGTGTGCATGTGTTCAAACAGTATGTAGTTGAACCACCTTGTGTCATATAAAAGTAGGATGAAGCAATAAGATTTTGGCCTCATGCCCTCTAGCAAGACACGACAAACAGTATCCTTCCCTTTGAAGCATGACTCTCAGTCTTATCGTATGACACACCTAAAGATGAAATACTGCTCCACACAGACCAAAACTAATACTATAGCAACAGTTTATCGACTTGATCAATTTGTGTTTCATTCAGCTAACCTGACTACAAAGACAAACAACTTCCACATGACAGATAACAGAAGCACCATCCACTTTTAGCTGCACAAACACCAGCTGTAGACGACATGCAGGTTTTTAGTGTTTAATGCTTTCTAGCTTTGAATACCCAAACAAATACCTTTGTCATCCTGCTGTAATTTGGGCCAGAGCTGCATTTGATTCATTAAGGGTGGTCTGCTGATGTTCACTGATAAACTAAAGTGAGTAACAGAGAGGGATGAGAGAGCAGCACACTCTCATGCTGTTCTATGTGATCACTGACATTAAAGTTTAATACAGTGATGTAACACCTTGTAGAGATCTCTGGGACCTTGTACCCCCTAAATAGGAGACAGCAACGTATCACAGTATATTACAGCCACTTTTCCAACTGTGTTTTTGCTCCAGTGGCTTTATATACTGCACAGTAGTCATTGATTTCAAGAGAAGCGCAACACACATATTCAACGTTCATTTGGTTACTTTAAATGCAAATTTTAGAGCACACAAAGGACACCCACATAATGTGTTAACCATAGGCGGAGCGTGTGTAAGGCCATGGGGACTTGGTGTAAAAATGCCACTAAATTGGACAAAAATGCCCCTGCACAATCAAATTAAATCTATTACGTCTGTTGCTAACAAAGTGAATATGAATAGACAGTGTCGATTGTGGCATTAAATTGAGATCTGCTCATGTTGCACCGTATTTCATTTTAGGCGTTTTTACAGCTTTTAACTAATCACACACAATTCTGTTGAGCTTAGGAATGCAATGTCCAATCAGAGGCGTTCAGATGAGTCATTGTTGAAACAGATCAGTTTTGTTGAGTGCGCGCGCGTTCGCTGACTGAATTCCGGACTCTTGCAAATTCTCTCATCATAAACAACAAAGCGCAGATGGACGTACAATGTAAGTAAGAGATTCATTTCACAGTGTATGTGATTATAACGATAGTTTTGTTTTTTTGAAAGTGCTTAAACTCGCGATAGATCAATGTTAGTGATAATGTCACTTTCTATATATAACTTATTCGCTGTTTGAATAACCGTGGAAAGGAAACGTTATATAATTATCAATTTCTAACATTTTTATTAAATTGTAATCACGTTAAATACAAATTCAGTCCCATTAAACATTTTTTTTAGCCTACATGACACCCATGTCTGGTCCTTGCCTAAAAAGACGGGTTTATGATGTTTAATACATTTGGCTGCTTTTAGCCTTACCCTGGAGTTGGTTCACCCTCCGCCTATGGTGTTAACTGATGCTCAATGGGTTGCACAATACAGGTTTGAATTACTTAAAGGGTTAGTTCACCCAAAAATGAAAATTAGCCCATCATACGTTATCCGCCCGGAGCTGCTTCCATGTAGGACTGTTGGTGCAAGCTACATTAAAGTGATGATTACGTTTTGAATATGGATATTTTTCTTACAAAAATGCATCGATTCGCTACAGAAGGCCTTTGTTCACCCCTCAGAGCCGTGTGAGACACTTTTTTTTTGAATGAATGGGCGCTTTTTATTTAACTTCTTTTGGACTGATGCATGCAACACCCGCTGAGTGGCATTAAACAGCTTGAAAGATCAAAGACAATTTTTAATATAACTCCGACTGGATTAATCTGAAAGAAGAAAGTCATATACACCTAGGATGACTTGAGGGTGAGTAATTTGTGGGCTAATTTTCATTTTTGGGTGAACTAACCCTTTAAGAGGAAATGAGCAGTGTTTGTCTGGACTTGACTGTTGTAAAGGTTAACATCTGCCAAAGTCTGCTTTTTCTCCATGAATGACTACAGCATGACATTTTACCGCTCAAATTAATGTTTGCTTTTATAAACATGTCTGTATGCGACACTCGTATCATGAACATCGCGTAAGTGAATCTTTTACACAGACGCCACGTACATCCAGTTATCTAATACATACTGAGGGCCAGCTGTTAGTTCTATGACTGGAGATGAGCTGTTGCTATGTTATTAAAGCTATAAGCCATTAAATCTAAATGAGATGCAATAAAAAAAAAGAAAAAAAAAGAGCATACTTTTAAGCAAATCGAGCACATAAAATACATTTCAGCTTATTCTAATTTTCTTCAGAAATGTGTGTCCTTTCTGAAACAATAACAGTTTGATGGTGTGCTGCTAGTTAGACTAAATGCATTATCTTAAATGGTACATCATGACAGCCCTTAACTGTTCAGTTCAATATAAGGCTCGAGCCGTTAGTTTGTTTGCATTCTGTAAATTTTTTGCCCTTGTTGAAGCATGTTCCGTTCAGTTACTCATGCTCACTGATATTTGTCTGCTTTTCTGTTTCAGATTTTTAAATAATAAAATAAATCTCTTACCCAATGATGTAAGCTAGAACACCCATTTGGATGATTCGGCACACAACTGCAACTCTTTTGTTCCTGACCAGAACCTGTCGAGGAGTTTCGTATTCAAAGAAGAAGTTTGAAAACGTTCTCTTTATTTGAGATTTCATTCTTCTCGTTGAAAGAAAAGGAGTTCAAAGATGTGTTATATCCTCCTCTCTGTCTTCACAAGGCTCTTGTTCACTGGTAAGATGTCTTGGTAAGCACTGTAAGATGTTTATAGAGTGCTGTAATCTGACTTCCTTGCTTGCCTCAACTTTATCGGTCTCTCTCTCTTTCTTTCTCTCTCTCTTTTAAACCAAACACTTCTCAAAGTAAACCACCCACTTTGCGTTGTCTTCATCCCCCCTCTTATGACTGTAGCGCAAATACATGTACAGGCGGATAAACTTCTTAAGGGAGGAGTAGCGACTTAGAGTCCAATTGCAAATAAAGGCTTAATGTCCACCGCACATCTGTGACATGCCTGAAACAGCCTTCTCTCTCTCTCTATCAGCACTCTTCTTGCGCTCTTTGGCCACTGCCTTCCTGAATGACTGCTAAAGATAAAACCCAGTGTTCATTTTACTGTATTTTCACATAGTTTCACAGGATGATTCTTATAAATGTATGAAGCACCTCAGTTCCAATTGCTTTATACAGTTATGGACCACCATCATACATCAAACATCAAACCAGCCATTCTCTGCTATATGACAATAAGAATTGTATAAACTTGTTAAATCATCTAAACCAACAACATGTATGTTAGATCCTATACCATCTAAGCTACTAAAAGAGGTGCTTCCAGAAGTCATAGATCCTCTTCTTAATATCATTAATTCATCATTGTCACTAGGATATGTCCCAAAATCCTTCAATCTGGCTGTTATTAAGCCTCTCATTTAAAAAACACAACTTGATCCTGGAGAATTAGTTAATTACAGACCAATCTCAAATCTCCCTTTTCTGTCAAAGATACTTGAAAAGGTGGTCTCCTCACAACTATGTTTTTTTGTTAGAGGAAAATGGTCTCTGCGAGGATTTTCTAGTCAGGATTTAGACCGTATCATAGTACAGAGACTGCTCTCATCAGAGTTACAAATGACCTGCTCTTATCATCCGATCATGGTTGTATCTCTCTATTAGTGCTACTGGATCCTAGTGACCGCAACATTTGAATAGACTAGAAAATTATGTTGGCATTAGTAGAATTGCATTGGCATGGTTCAAATCATACTTATCTGACTGTCATCAATTCGTAGCAGTGAATGAAGAAGTATCATATTGTTCACAAGTGCAGTATGGAGTACCAAAAGGCTCAGTACTAGGACCGTCAGCTCTATATTTTTTTGCGACCCGACGAAACATACCAATTCATAAAACTAACAGAATGCAGAGCTGATATAAAAAACTGGATGACTAGTAATTTCCTACTGCTAAATTCTGAAAAAACAGGTGTTAATTATCAGACCAAAATCCTCTGCATGTACAGTAATAATCTAGAACACTGTCTAACACGTGATGGCTGCTCTGTCAATTCTTCGTCATCAGTTAGAAACCTAGGTGTGATATTTTATAGCAACCTTTCCTTTGAAAGTCATGTTTCTAGCATTTGTAAAACTGCATTTT